GATGACAAAAAAAATATAACACTAAATAGCATTCTTTCAACATTAATCGTGTTCGAAGTAAACGTTTTTTCCCCTCAAAAAACTGTAAATATATAGCGAAAATTTGCCGTCGCAAAACATATAAATGCTAACATGTGATCGAGACACGAAGTATAAAATATTCTTTCTAAGCCGCTGTCCAAACATACTGGCTCACTACCACATAATGATGCTCACTACCACATAATGATGCAAATGAGTATAATGATGAAAGCACCGCGTATAATGCTCGAACCACCGCGTATAATGCTCGAACCACCGCGTATAATGCTCGAACCACCGCGTATAATGCTCGAACCACCGCGTATAATGGTGAAAGCACCGGGCGTAACGCTAATTGCGTATAATGACGAAAGCACCGCGTATAATGATGAAAGCACCGCGTATAATGCTCGAACCACCGCATATAATGCTCGAACCACCGCGTATAATGCTCGAACCACCGCATATAATGCTCGAACCACCGCATATAATGGTGAAAGCACCGCGCGTAACGCTAACTGCGTATAATGACGAAAGCACCGCGTATAATGTTGGAAGCACCGCGTATAATGGTGAAAGTACCGTGTATAATGGTGAAAGCACCGCGTATAATGCTCGAACCACCGCGTATAATGGTGAAAGCACCGCGTATAATGGCGAAAGCACCGCGTATAATGGCGAAAGCACCGCGTATAATGGCGAAAGCACCGCGTATAATGTTGAAATCACCGCGTATAATGCTAGAACCACCGCGTATAATGCTAGAACCACCGCGTGTAATGCTTGAACCACCGCGTATAATGGCGAAAGCACCGCAAATAATGCCGAAAGAACCGAGTATAATGTTAAAAGCACCCAACAAAATGACGTTTGATCACTTAAGACAGCTATGGCTTTCCATAGGCTATGGTCAATCACATTACTTAATTTTCGGTAAGCAGTCCAACGATCCATGCAACTGAGAAGCTGATTGATATTGTATGTCTGGTACCATAAGCTTGCGAATTTTGTTGCTAGTCACAACGAAGCCAAGAAAATGTTTTGTATTTCTTCTCTCGCTTTTATGCTTTATGAACAGTACTAATCAAACAATATATTGTATACTCTTAAATGAAAACCGCGTATTATGTTTGATCGGTCAAAATGTTCGTGCAGAATAAAATTATGAGGAAAATCTTTTGTATGTCACGTAAAGCCCGGGTAAACTAGGAAACATTGTTGCGGAAACATTTGTGATTCTCGATGTTTCCTCAAATGTTTCCATGTTTGCCCACCCGTGGAAACATTGTTGCGGACACAAAATTTGCTTCCTGGGAAGCAAAACTGTTTCCTAGCAAATTCAGAAACATTTGATGTTTCCCTATGTTTCACACTAATCGGTTTCCTAGTGTTTGCCCACTCATGGGAAACATTGGTAGGAAACAATGTTTCCTAGTTTGCCCAGGGCTTAACACGCGCTCAAAACTAATCAACATACTTTTCCATTTGGTTATGACTATATATCAATTTTTAAATTTTTTGATACGTGGGAAACAAACTTTAAAAGTATGTTTAGTGCTTTATCTGTAAAATTATGCTAAAAGGAAGAGAGTTTAGATGGTACGTCAACGAGAAAATGATGTCTGAAGTTCAGTAAGTTTTATTTATACTGCTGTATAAATATATATGGCGTCAATTTCACAGCATCAATGATAATTGTATTTAAATTGACAGTATTTAACTATTATTTTGTGTTTCTCAGGGCCGCCAGATACATTAACTGTAAAAGGTTGCTAACTGTGTAAACTACAAAATAAAGCTAAAACAAAGTAATTTTGAGAGGAACGCCAAAAAGATTTTAGGTTTTGAACACTTTTTATCGCAAATACGCGAAATTGAAAAAAATGCCTCTTAATCGGAAATTTAGTGTTTTTGTTCGGCAAATTTGATTCGATTTGCTCGGCCGATTGTAGACCGTTATAATCCACATTGAATCCATTCATAATACAACATACTGTACCCACCTCTAGGTGGCGTAAGTTCAATACCATAAGCCTCGCACCATCCTGGCGGGAAAATGTTTCTCGAATTAGCGTGAAAGCAGAAATACGCAGCTTGTGAGTCGATGCCAGCGATGAAGTAATTATACTTGAGCTCCTTGATCACCGTGAGGACGCAGATCTGATTGGGAACATAAGGATTGATACCTTCAAACTTCATACCCACTTCGAACGCATATGGACCTTGGGCAGAGCCTGTTGCATCCTAAAAATACAAACATGACGATCTTGATCGCATTGTATTTGTAGTAGTACACATCTCATTCCCCTCTTTCATGGCGGCGTCACATAACTACGTACACACTACGTCACATAAGCTAGCAGAATTAAAGTACTTATTGTCGAATGAGTAATAACCTTGATAATAATATACATGAAAAAAATTCCTCAATTCTGATTGGCTAAGAGCAGTGCGATTTTTTCGAAATACAGTGCCAAAAAATGAATACAGTGCAAATTTCATTGACTATAAGATACAGCCATTTCTAGCTGAAAATAAGACAAAAAAACCCCCAAACATTTACAAGTGACAAAAATGGATGGCGTTTTCAGTAGATTTTCTATTAAAATTATTTGTATTAAAATTATTTGTATTAAAAGTAACGATTTCGCATGTGACCTACGCACGCACGCATGCACGTGACTGCATAATTTGTTCATGTATATTATTAATAAGTAATAGTATCATGGTTTCTCGTGCAATTTGGGAAAAACATACACTCGTGACTTTTTCAAAGACTCGTCCTTCCAACGTCTTTGAAAAACTCACTCGTGCATGTTTTTCCCAAATTGCACGAGAAACCATACTATTATACCTATATACAAAACAGACACACTATGCACTGACCTCGGAGAAAATTTCTTGAGGTGCGTCTCGGTCTTGTGCCAGGATTTTCTCGATGAGTTTGTTCCACTCTGAGATGCTGTTTTTCCAGCCTAAAAATAAGAACAATAATAATTGTGATCATTACCAAAAGCAAAATAAAACAACTGCAAGACGTGTGTATATAGACTTGTTAATTAACCGCAGAGGTTTGAATATCTCCAATTTTCGCTACTTTTGTATATGCACTGACAATTAAACATCATTTGGTATTTTCATGGATATTTTTTCCAATTGCTCAAAGAAATTAAAGAAAGAGTCGACTACGAAAGAGTCGACTTAAAGGCCCTGTCACACTATTGCGTATGAGAGAAACGTATGAGAGAAACGTATGAGAGAAACGTATGAGAGAAACGTATGAGAAGCGTATGAAAATTAATGAAATAATTTTCATACGCACAAAATTACAAAAATCCCTTGAAATGCCATAGCGTATATGAGTACCGTACATCTGGCGTCCCTCTACGGAATTATATACAAATGCCAAAAAATAAACGGCATTGCGTCGGAAATACCTGTGAAAACAGATACGATGCTTCGGACCAATCAAGTGAAAATGATTTATCTTACCTATGGGAGGTCTGAGCTGATGACCGACAAGAGAAGACCACCCGACAGGATGAATATCAGTGGAATAATAATGACACCAGAAATCTTCCGCAACCTCAGGATCTAAGCCATCATAACGTAAACGAAGACGATCACCAACCACATCAACGACAGTCGCCACACACATTACTGAATACAAGTTCTTACGATCCGCCACTTCTACTTTCATCCCAACCTTAAAACGATTGTGAGGTATCTCTTGTACCTAGGAACACGAATACCATTAACAATTTTGTAATCCCAAAGTCTAGGAAGTGCATGTATATACATGGGTGACTATATACTTTGTTGCATACAGTATTTAACAGTTATTGAACTACGAGGTTGAGCATGAGACGAAGAATTAGCAAGCCCGACGTTTGCAACCGAACTCAATAATTGTTTTAATATTTATTTAAAAGTTGAAAAAGAAATCCGGGTTCAATTCGTCGAAATAATGACCAGTATACTTCTTTTTCGTATTTGCATTTTGCATAAAATATTTCCTTTTTTCTTTCACAAGAACGCGTTAAGATGTTTCAAAACCATTCGTGGCTGCTTTCTTTGATATTTCTTCCTGTGAATACGGCCGCGCCATATTCTTTTAGTCGTGTTTCCACATTTCGCATTCGTATTTCCACAGCATGACGTCATAGCGTTTAATATATTTTTTCATATCAACATTATGACGTCATAACGTTGAATATTATGTCAAAACTCCACGTTTGGTCAGCTGTTGAGTTAATATGATGATTTTACAGTTGGTTGTTAGGCAGTCGGAAACCATGAATCTTTTAAGTTAAATCACTGCAAATTCAGGTTCCAAATTCAACTTGTGGAATAGCTCCATGTAATATAGACCTACAAAACTTTGCACATACAGTACAAACCTTTTGTAGAAACTCTGCTGAAAACGTCTTCGCACCAGATAGTCTTTGAAATAAATATTCCTGCCAATCATTTATTCTGGTTTTGATTTCTTTAAACAGAAAACATGGTTAGCCAATGTAATAAATTGAAATCTAAGACAGTATTACGTCGAACACCACTCTAATTCTTCTATAATAAGCTACAGTAACTCTTCTAATAAACTTCGACTGTATAAGCCCTGGGTCTGGTTGTTCAAAGCGTTAACCCTGGGTTAAAATTTAGCCTGTTGTTTTTGTCTGTGTATTTCTGCATGTTCGTTTATTTCAAAGCTTGTAAAAATAAAACTTTTATTGATCAAGACTATAATTTCTGAAAAAAATCTCGAAGTGTGCAGGAAAGATTGTTTTGAAATTTTCCGTTAACCCAGGGCTTGTACTAAGTATTTTTTATGCATGGCCATATACGGGACAGGCTGATACATCTACAGGGGAAATTTAAATTTGTGTTAGTAATAATACGTATACTGTATACAGTGAATTTTTATCATCAACTAATGTATGAATTAAGAATGTTCGACTTGCCACAAGCCGCTCGGTAGGTTAGAGATTGGAGAAATAAAAAACAGCGCGTGACGGCGAACCATGGACCCACAGCGAAGGACTTTGGAAAATCGAACTACCGTATTTACTCGATTGAGCGCCGCCCCCGAATAAGCGCCGCATTTGAGATCAATTTTTTTTAACGAGCGCCGCCCCCGAATGAGCGCCGCACTAAACAGTGTAAAAACTTTCCGCCTTCAAAATGGGGACATTCAGTGACAAAAATCTTTTAAAACTTGTTTATTTTATTATTAAAAGTTCTTGTTAGAATTCACAAATAGAACATTCCTTAAAGAACGCCGCCCCCGAATGAGCGCCGCATCTGAAGCTCTGAAAATTTAAAGAGCGCCGCGGCGCTCAAAGAGTAAATACGGTATATGACTTAAATATTGATTGACATGATTGAAAACGTCATGTTGGTAAAGAACCACGTCTGGTTGTTAAAAGGTAAGAATAAAGCATAGGTACTGTACATAATATTCTACAGTAAACCATAGTGGTTTGCGATTGAACTACTGTCGGTTCCAGAAAAAAGCGCAAACACCTTGACGTTTCTAGGAAAGGTCCTTTGTCACGACTCATGTACTGTAGATATATTTGCATGGAATGGCAGATCGCGAAAGTACACTGTAGTATCTATCTTGTTTTTTGGTTGATTTTATTCTTATGACTGGTTAATTTCTATCACAAGATTATTTTTCTAGTTTCGCAATATTAAGCAATTGTATAAGTTTTCAATCCTACACTACTATCTTCTGACGAAGGGCCTTCGCTCGAAACGTTGGCAAAAGGGTTTTTGATCATTTTCAGGTATTCAGACACAAACTACGGCAGCTGCGTGTAGTTTGATGCCGCCCAAACTGAGAAGAACAGCAAAACAATGCACTAAACTCGTCAAAGGTTTAAAAGAAAACAGTACCTTGCGGAGGTATTAGAGGTTTATTTATCCTGGCACACCAACCAACTGGATGTATATCTCGACATCGAAGATCAAACCAAAAGTCTGCATTATCGCCTTCGTCATAGCCTTCGTATCTTAGCAACGTCTTAAAATGTTTAAATTTGATGACCGATGCGACCCAAAACGTCGTATTCTCGGAATTATTAAAACTTTCAACGCCATTGTTGATCACCTCAACTTTCATACCAATATGGACATCTTTTAAACATGACATTACTTGAGCCTAGAAAAAATAACAAAAATAAATGTGACATGTCATCGCTAATATATATATAGATATATATATATATATATATATATATATATATATATATATATATATATATATATATATATATATATATATATATATATATATATATATATATATATATATATATATATATATATATATATATATATA